CATAGTTGTTCAAGAGTTAAGTTATTTGAAAAGAAATTTTTGTCAGAAATAGAAAAATTTAAAGGTTTCAGGTTTCATATTAGAAGTCGTGGTAAATGCATAGTTTATATAAAGCAAACAAAAAAGACACGAAAATTTAGAATTTTGTTATAAATTTCAAAAATTTAATTTTTTCCAGTACTTTTAATAAAAATCCATAAGTTTTTGCCTGAATTCCCTGTCTCAGAATATATGATTATTATAGTTATTAAAACTATATTCTAATTCATATTTTAGTTTTACGAAAAAAGTTTGAATTGAAAATTTTTAAATTCTATTATTTTTAAAATTGCTAATTCTATTTAAAAAAGTAAGAAAGAAGTTACATAATTGTTGATAGTTAGTAACAAAAAAAAGAAGTGCGTCATTAAGACCTGATCTCCTTAACATTTATATAATAACAAATTGTTTATATGAATAAATCTTTTTATTGTAGCGAATTTTTTGAATAAAATGTTGATTTTGATACTTTCGTTATTAGATTGAAAATTGAACGAAATACAACAAAGTTAGTGAAGAAGTAATTCGAATATAAAGTTTTATTCGCAATAATTTAGCTAGGAACAGAGATGCTCTGGAAAGCAGGACGTGGGCCATATATATTTGATGGGATACTTGGTATAAAGTTGTGCATAAAAGTAATACCGACATTAAAGTTTGCGGTTCCAGAACAGGACGCTATCGTCAACCCTTACTTCCCTTTTCCCTCTTCAATGTTCTTTATGGTCTACAACCATAGCGTCTATGTCTTTCTCATTGTGCTCAGGCATTTTCAACTGTTCATGTTTTCTTTCGTTTTCATTCATTATACAGTATTATCTACATTAAAGTATGTAGAAATATAGAAAAGAAGAAAAATAATAATAAATCACATACTTCGGTAAAAATTTTATAGCGAAAAAGTGTATTTTGAATAAATAAATCCATACAGTTTCTCTGAGATCTTAGGCTAAGTTAAGCTATGCATAGTCAACCTGCAGCAACAGTTTAGAAAACGTTGTTATAAACCTATAAAAATGCATATTTTATAAACGAATTGAAAATGAATTACTATAATTAACTTTGATTGTTTTTACCTTCACACGACTGGAAAAATAATGGAAAATTAATAAAACAAATTTAATTCAATATTGCACCTTGAAAAACAAAAAGAACTATTTTTTGTTAATGTTTCATTAAAGGTACTAATTTAAATTCTTTCTAATTAATTTACAGAGTCATATGCAAATTCTGTCTTGCCCTTTTTTGAATTAAAAAATTGTTTGTGTTCTCTAATGCTTTACTCAATTTTTGCAACAAAAGATTCATGTTAGAAGGTTTTGGCAAGTACACTCTGCAATGTATAATAGAGTAATTTAGTTCGGAAGTGCTCATCAGGGAACGATCTTCTTGCGTCAAGGGAGGTATGACTTCTTCCCTCGTGGTGTCTCGCTCCGCTTCGACAGATCCATAACTTAATGTGGCTTACGTATTGCTAGATACCACTTAAAGTTACTGAAAATAAAAAGTTACCTTAAGCCGCATGAGTATCTCATTAGTACGTGGGCCATTTTCACAAAATTGGCGTATTTAACGGCGTTACTAAAAATATAATTTTATTAAATATGTAATTACTTATGTACATTACATAACAATATTGCAGCAAATTTAAATTGCAATCTTGTAAAAAGTTTACATTACAAAGATTCCGACAAGAAAACATTTTGTTACTTATGCTGAAAACTTATCGTGTAAGGTTGCACACATCACATGTCTGACTTATTCATTTTGAACAGGCGAACAAATCTAGTTATTATAAAATGAACCCTTAGCTCGAAAAACGGCTTAATTGTTTTTGAGTCATTTTGGAAAATCTTAAAAGTAACATTTATTTATAAATTATAAGTCATTTAAAGCATTATTATTTAATTTAAACGGTTTCGCTATTAAACAATTTCAATCAAACATTATAATTTAGATGTTAATTAATACAATGGTAAGCGTCTTTTAAAAAACGGCTTCAAGCGTTCGCTTTTTTCAGCGAACGGTTTAAATAATCTGCTTTTAAAAATAAAGAAAATATAACAATAACTATTACCCTATGCTTGACCGTGAACAACTAAATCGTCTAAATCTCTAATTTATGTCAAAAGATTAAAAAAGTGCAAAAATTTGTTCAAAATAATTATAAAGGAGGAGGGTCGATAAGGCCTGTTTTCGGCCCCCTTCAAATTTTTATTTAAATGCTTGAAATAAATTTTCCGCCAAATAAAAATGATAATTATGATGATTGAAGGTTAAGTGAGGGTGTTTGGAAAATATTAACCCCTAAATAATAAGGGTTTTCAAATAAAAAATGGGCAAAAAAATTTTCAAATATGAATTAATTGGCTGATTACGAATCTGGTGTTAGTTTTCCAAAATTCAAAATGGAGGATCCAATATGGCGGACGACTTTTCTAAAATAAGACTTAATTGGCTTGAAAATCATTACTCGAGGGTTTTTGGGGTCGCTGATTACGAATATGGCGTTAATTTTGAAAAACTAACATCAGATTCGTAATCAATGTCCCCAAAAACCCCCGAGTAACGATTTTCATGACAATTAATTCATTTTTTAAAAAAGTCGTACGCCATTTTGAATTTTGAAAAACTAACACTAGATTCGTAATCAGCGACCCCAAAAACCCCCGAGTAATGATTTTCAAGCGAATTAAGTCATATTTTAAAAAATTCGTCTACCATATTGGATCCGCCATTTTGAATTTTGGAAAACTAACACCAGATTCGTAATCAGCGACCCCAAAAACCACTGAGTAACAAGTTTCAACAAAATCCAATCGCTGGGTTTCTCGAGGGCGCGAATGGGTTAATTTAAAAAATTCTTTTTTATTTAAAAATAATTAATGTAAAATATTAATAAAAAGAAAGTTGGTGTGCTCTGTTGATGAAATTTTTAACATAGATGGTCTGGAACAAAAAATCCATACGGTATTTGATTCAGTATGTTCATAGCTATAGTGCATATCATACGATTTTTTTTTTGACAACAAAAATATTTTTAAAATCCCTTGATATGCTCTATATCTATGAACATGCTGAATCTAATAACAATTTTGGATTTTTTGTTTCAGACCATCCATGCCAAATATTTCATCAACAGTGCACACCTACTTTCTTTTTATTAATATTTTTTATTAATTATTTCTAAATAAAAAAAATTAAAACAGTTTTTTTGTAGCACTTTGAGAGTGTATTTATTATATGTAATACCTCACATATCAATATTTATAATTTAACCCTGAAAAAAATTTACAAAAATAGTCTTTTTTAGCGTGTTTATAAAGTGGGTAGACCCCTTAAATTTACTTTCGCTATTTTAATGACTTATAACGCAAACATTATTATAGTTAAATTTCAGTTACGTTTTCTTCATATTGGACATAGATATTTAAAATGTAACATTCGTAAAAAATCGATTCTTAGCATAATTACAAACATAGAACAAAATTGTCAAAACTTGGTAAATAATAACAAGAACGATAAGGAAAAAAAAGATTACTGATATATTCTTAGATTTACTGCTGTGCATCCAAATAGAAAAACTATTTTAAATAAATTAATTTTTAATGAATGTTAGTGAAATAGGGGTCATTGAACGCAAAATTCAATACTCTTAAATATTTCAATCGGAGAAAAAATGTTTGAAATAATATATTCAGGCTAAAAATAACAGTTAATGTTGACAAATCGATAGAAAAATACAAATTTTCGACAGTTTTTGGAACTTTACCCTCATAAATTTAATTTTTAACAAAAAAGCCCTATGTGGATTAAGCAGCTCTGTTTTTCAGCTTTTAAAAAAAAATTTGTTTAAAACGGTCAGAAGTAAACATTTTAAATAGGTTTTTTTATAAACGAACATCCAAAAAAAGGTTTGTTTGCTCTAAAATCAAAATTTTAAGGTGTTTCTGCAACTTAATATATAGCATTCTTTTTAGTTTTTTGAGACCTATAACCTCCAAAAGGTCCCAAAAGATGTTTGTTTTTATGCTGTCATACCGTACAATTTTATTTATCATAAAAGATTATGAAAAATTAAATTTTAGGCACATTCATGGGTTCCACTTTTACTACAATATAAAAAAATATTCTAAAATATACATGTGAATAATTTTTAAACCAATTTCGCAATTTCAATTTTTTGTACTTTGAAATTTTTAATGTACAAACTTGAATTTTTTCCAACTTGCCCTAGTTTTTTTTGGTAAAATTGTTTGTCTTTGTTTAATAGCCATATCTACCCTATTCCATTATGAAGTTTCTATAACCAACTTAATGGAGTGAATACTTTGAAATGATAACAATCTTCTTTACTTTATGACAATAATAAGGGCGAGATGGTTAACATCCGGTTTCAATGAACAGTACTACAGTTAACCTTGATTAGAATTTCTGCTAATAGTTGTGAATTGGTGAAGGTAGAAAACGAATGGGGAAGTTAGGCAACAGGTGTCATCTGATTGATCACCGACGCTTGAACTCCCTACACTATTACCTAGCCCACAAACGTATCCACAATATAAATCAAGTATTTAATGTTAGTCCATGAGAAAATAATAAGGTAAATATCCCTATTTGTATTCATTCCGAAATGGTCTGAAAGTTAGTCTAAAAGTAGTCAAACATTTACTGTTTATAATTCGATTTCAAAACTGTTTCTAGAATTTGCTACAAAATTATTATTTTCCTTATTTATCAGGATTTTTCCATTTGTACAGTAAACCTTAGGGGATAGTTTCTACCCTATAGGAAAGTGTCAAAAGAAGGAGCAACAAAAATTACCATCGAATTTCAGATTTCTTTTTGTAAGAGTAATTTTTATTTGTTGGATATTAAATAGTGTTTTACCATGAGAAGTACGAGTCTTTCTTATTTTTAGTTATTGGAAAGAATTTGCCTAATAAATGGAAATTTTTCAGAATTGTAAGAAATAAGGCTGCCGAGAAAGCGAAGCATGCACACCAACAACAGCAAGCGCAACAGCAAGGTCAACAACAACAGGGTCAACCAGGTACAGGTGGCTCCGTGTCAGTTATTGCACACGCTCCTGCTACACCATCTGGCCATCCTGCAGTAACAGCGCCTAATGCTTATAGCATAAGTGGAATTTTAGGTATTCCACCACATCATCAAGATCCTAATGGAAACAGTATCAAAAGAAAGCGAACTGATGACGGTAACGTATTATTCAATAGTTATTTCTCATTAAATTTTAATGGTGATAGTGTAAAAGTATTATTTTTAATACTGATATGCGAATAGATGCAATATAACGCACACATTAAATTTTATAACGTAATGGATAAATATTTTAAATAAATTCTTTTCCCAGTTTTAGTATTAAACTTTTTCGACTCTTCTGTCACATATATTGCAACTCCATCATATTGCAATACCATTTTTTTTATAAAATACAACTTCTTTAAATTTTTATAGTGCATATATTTTCATAGTGTAATATAACTATAGTCAAATCTTTTTCTGTAAAGATGTCTTACTTTCCTTTTTTGTTTTATTTTAATATCAAAGTTTGGTTTAAAAATAATATTTTTCAAAATTTATTTTTGAGATAAACTTGTTTTTACATATATAAATTTTAAAATTCATAAAATGAACGAGATTCTAAAATTCAAAAGTTAAAAAAATTTCTTTAATCCTCTGACGTCCAAATTTTATTTTCTATTCAAAATTTATAAAACTTAGTATCTAGAATCAAATGACAGATTTTGAAAATTCAAAATGGCAAATCCAACATGGCGGACCGAAATTTTTAAATTTGATGGATTTTTATGAAACTTGGTATCTATAGGGTTTTTCGGGGTTGCTGATTACGAATCATCTGTCAGATTTTGAAAATTCAAAATGGCGGATCCAATATAACGGACCGAAATATTTAAAGAGTGACGCTAAAAACACCTGTTTTTTAGCCCATTTTTCGGACCGCGAAATTTTCAATCAAACATATTCTAAAATGCGCCGTATAAAGGGATATTAATTTCATAACCATTTTGAGTGGAGCATATTCTTTGTTGTTTGGATATAGTGTTAAAATGGGGGTTTAGAGGGGTTAAAAGGGGTTAAAATACCAAAAATTAAATATGCTCAGATTCGCTGGAAACTGGTTACTCAAGGGTTTTCGGGGTCGCTGATTACGAATCCAATGTCAGTTATTCAAAATTCAAAATGGCGGATCCAATATGGCGGACAACTTTTTCTAAAATTGCTCAGATTCGCTGGAAACTGGTTACTCGAAGGTTTTCGGGGTCGCTGATTACGAATCCAATATCAGTTTTTTAAAATTCAAAATGGCGGATCCAATATGGCGGACGACTTTTTTAAAAATCACATCTTATTGACATTTTGAATTTTGAAAAAGTGACATCGGATTCGTAATCAAAGATCCCAAAAACCCCTGAATAACAAGTTTTAAGCAATAAGATGTGATTTTTAAAAAAGCGTCCGCCATATTGGATCCGTTATTTTGGATTTTGAAAAACTGATATTGGATTCGTAATCAGCGACCCCGAAAACCCCCGAGTAATTAATTTCAAGCGAATCTGAGCAATTTTAAAAAAAGTTGTCCGCCATATTGGATCCGCCATTTTGAATTTTGAAAAATTGCCATTGGATTCGAAATCAGCGATCCCGAAAACCCCCGAGTAACCAGTTTCCAGCGAATCTGAGCATATTTAATTTTTGGTATTTTAACCCCTTTTAACCCCTCTAAACCCCCATTTTAACACTATATCCAAAAAACAAAGGATGTGCTCCACTCAAAATGGTTATGAAATTAATATCCCTTTATACGGCGCATTTTAGAATATGTTTGAATATGATGGATTTTTATTAAACTTGTGAAGAATATTTTTCTATACGCCAAAAATGTCATAAAATCTTGCAATGGAAATTTCCTATCTTTGTAATGTAAACCTTTTGAAAATTGCTATACTTAAGCGTTCATGTTACATTGGCACCAAATTTAAAATAATTTTTGTTTTTGTTAAAATATATTTGAAATTCTATTGAAATACTTAAATGGAGCAAAAATTGTTTATAAAAATGTTCATTCTTTTTTTGTATTTAAAAAATCTCTGCATAAAAATTTTCTAAACCACTATTTTGAACGAAAATTGAAAGTTCTACAGCTCAACGAAAAAAACCGCTGCCAAGTAGTGCATTTTTTTTATAATTTTGGTGCTCATTTCATGAACACTTTGCTTCCTCATAGAGATAATAATAATAGAAATGTATAAATAACTTTTTATAAATATGGTAAAAGTGACTGAATCTTGGGTTAATCAATGTATTTTTAAATACCCTACAAGATAGTTATAATAGTTTAATAGTTAAAGAAAAGTTTTCAAACAAAAAAAAGTTGAGAAAATGTCATTTTCCACAATTTTTGGTTTTTAAGATAACAATAATTTCGAAATTTATAATCGAAATAGGTTCAAAAATAGGTAAATTGAAGCGTTTTTAATGCTCTACAAGTTGGTAACGATACTTTTAAAGTTATACTTTTACATTTTTCAACAAAATTTTCAAAAAAGTCATATTTTCCAAAATTTTAGATTTTTAAAAGTTTAATATCTCCGGTAATATGGACGAAAAATGTTCAATTAGAACTCAAAAGATGCGTTTAAAAAAACTCTACAAAATTATGGAAAAACATTTATAGGTGTCCTAACATTTTTTAAAGTTATGAGCAAAAAACGTTTTTATGCAAAATTAAAAATCCAAAACCTTTTATTTACTTTTTTTACTTTTCGAAATGATACATTAATATTAAAAAAATTTTAAATCACGAATTAAAGAATAAACATTTTGAATAGATCCAGATTTTAGAACTGAAGTGTAATAAATGATCTCCATACGTAAAAGGAGATATAAATCTTGTCTCTTGTTTTCAATATTTTTATTTTATATTTTTGACCGTATATGCATTTGCGGAAGTCACTACTCAAAATGTGAGAGCGAATCATTTCGAACTTGAAAAGGGAGACACGTGAGCTGACACGTGACAGGAATATTTTCGGGCAGCGACTATTCACGTAGCGCAGCGGAATGAATGAGAGCACGTGCAATGTGACATTTGACTGATGACCCTGCGAAGTATAAATTTGTGTTTCTAATCCTGGACCATTTGCGTCTTGTAACTTAAGTCAGGTTATGAAATCAATTCGATTACGATTGGAACCATGACAAATTTTCAAAAAATGAGCACACTTTCAAAATTATGAGATATTTTGCATGCAACGACATATTATGTGGATATATTCAAATAATTAGAATAGACTGAATATACTTTTCAAATCGTACTGGAATTTAGGATCAATTTTCTCAAAAAATATACTTTTTCCTATCAAATTTTTATCATGAATTCGCTTACTAAAATGCCGAATAATAATAAATTTCAAGGTTAAAATTGTAGATGCGTGCATTTTCAAAAGCAAATTAAGTGTTATCAATCTAACTGAAGTAAGTCCTTTTACCCTAACAGCATCTAGGGTTTTCCGAGGTTGCCGATTACGAGTCAGCTGTCAGCTTTTGAAAATTCAAAATGGCGGATCCAATATGGCGGACCGAAATTTTAAAATTTGATGGATTTCCATGAAACTTGGTATTTTGGGGTTTTCGGGGTCGCTCATTACTAATCATATGTCAGATTTGGCAAATTCAAAATGGCAGATCCAATATGGCGGACCGAAAATTAAAAATTTGATGGATTTTTATGAAACTTGGTATCTAGGGTTTTTCGGGGTCGCTGATTACGAATCAAATGTCAGATTTGGAAAATTCAAAATGTCGGACCAAAAATTTAAGATTTGAAAAATTTCTATGAAACTTGGAATCTAAGGGTTTTTAAAGTCGCCGATTACGAATCTAATGTCAGATAGGAAATTTCCTTTGCAAGATTTTATGAAATTTTTGACGTATAGGGAAGAATATTCTTCAGGTGTCAATTACGCAATGCGAATTTACATTTACTTTTATTTATGAAAAGTTTCTTAACCTGAATTACTATTTTGATGTAATTAAGGGGTTAAATGTGTCAAAACGGCCAGAAAACGTATGTTCTTTTAATATTTTTTAATTAAAATAACTAAATTTTTTCCTTCAATTACTTTTATATCTTAAAGTACACTATAAAATAAGTAACATAGGTAATAAAAATTTCGTTGAAAATCATTAAAATTCAAGCCTGTAGCAATAGATTATTTGAGACAATTTTCACAAAAAAACTTTTGCGGCATTAGCGCAAAAAAAACTAAAAAGATTCATTTATTTTACTAAAACCCTACAAACCTCTGAGAAACAATTTTTAATCAAATTCTGTGAATTTGAAAAAAATTGTCTTTCAAATGAACGTTCAAAACTCAATATACAATTTACATACAAAACAGTTTTGATAAGTATCAAATCTTAAACATTTGCAAAAAATGTAAACAACTGAAAGGAGCTTTAGATTATTTCACTGAAAAATACATCCTTTTCAGGACTGTACTTTCACCCTTAGACACAAGTTCTGTGAGGGCGAGGTTTCTGGCAACCGTATCAATAACACTTCTCCAACTTAAAGGGTCTTACTTCTTCTTTTTCTTCTTCTTCTTACTGCAATCTTCTTTGATTTCCCAAAAGCTGTTTTAAAGCTAGTACAAATGTCTAATTCTGGGCGGATGTACTTTCTTTTTTAAAGAAGAACAGGTACACGACTAAAACAATTTTCCGAGAATCAATACCAAAAATACTTCAGGAGTCATTCTATAAAAATTCATTAAAATCTTTTTACATTTGTAATTTTTTGTCAAAAATAATTTTTTTTTCTAAGTTTCAAGGTTTTGAAAAATGTATAGAAAATAAACATTATTTAAAATTGTGGATAGGATAGGTGAACTGAAAAATAAAGAAAGGTTTTGTACCTATCATCTTTCATATGTAAATCCACTGAAAGATTGTATGCAGAAAAATAATTAAATTTGATTTATAAACGACCAAACAAATGAACGGCACTGATGAATAAACATGTTTGGAAGGAGGACCTTGAATTTATTTTTAATGAAATTAAAATTAAATACAGTAAAGCAACGAACTTATATTCAAAATTTATGAACATTCCGCAAAACATTATTACAGACAACTAAAAAATACAAAAAAGTTTAAAATTTCAATTTTTTT